TAGCACAGTACAGCACAGCACAGCACAGCACAGCACAGCACAGCACAGTACAGTACAGTACAGAACAGAACAAAGCAGAACAGTACAGTACAGTACAGTACAGTACAGTACAGTACAGTACAGTACAGAACAGAACAGAACAGAACAGAACAGAACAGAACAGAACAGAACAGAACAGAACAGAACAGAACAGTAGAGTAGAGTAGAGTAGAGTAGAGTAGAGTAGAGTAGAGTAGAGTAGAGTAGAGTAGAGTACAGAACAGTACAGTACAGTTATTTCTTACACAGCAGTTTGAAGAGCACAGGATTGAATTGTACTGTATTCATAAATTACTTGAGGTACTGTACTTGTTAATACATACTGTACTTATGTGTTTGTGGTGGAATACTGATTCTTTCTGGCCCTATAATATATGTTTTTGGTGTTTTTCTCTTCGAGTCACTCACTTCTTGCACTTGAAAACATTATTAAACTTCCAACATGTGAAACATTACATCACAAACCTGTTGCACACTACTGAAGGCATGAGTTAGCTTGGGAGACACGATCTTGTCCTGTGTGCCCTCTGCTAGTTGGCGGGAAGAGTTGCTGCCCCAGACGTACACGTCACAGGATTCACTGCTTTCTGCCACCTCCTCGCAGGGGTCCCCAATACACGTGCGAGCATATTCACCTAAAAAATGGAGGAATTTATGTAAGACAAACATTCTTGGAAGGCTTACCAGTAATTTGAACATCAAGTTTGTAAAACAAGGTCACACAAATCATGCAAGCTTACAGTACATATTAAAACACATTTCACTGGCTTTATATATATATATATATATATATATATATATATATATATATATATATATATATATATATATATATATATATATATATATATATATATATATATATATATATATATATATATATATATATATATATATATATATATATATATATATATATATATATATATATATATATATATATATATATATATATATATATATATATATATATATATATACACAGTCAACCCTCACTTTACGCGGTTAATGTAACCCACAGGGTACCGCGGAAAGTGAGAAACGCGTAAAGTAAATAACATAACATATGGGATTAAATGAAATAGAGACCAGCTGACCCCCAAACTCCACTTTTTCCAACACAATACCTATGTTCTAGTAAAAATAACATCTTAATTTTATGATGGTACATGCACACAATTAATACTTAAGAGAAATAGAGAAATACAGTCGCCAAGTTAATGTCCATTCAAATAATGGACACGACTCCCTCCCCCTCTTCTCACACTACACTGCTGGCTCTTCCCTCTGAGAAATTTTGGGGGAAAACCAGGTATAGTAATAAATAATACCTCAAACTAAAGTTAGGATAATATAATTGACATTGCTGGATTCCTTGTAAGACCAGGAATATTTTGTATATAAACGTCATATATTTTGCACAAAACATAACATACTTACTCAGAGTAAACATTTTATCTAAAAATTTTATGTCTAATGCAAAATCTATGATGTTTATATTCAAAATGATCATCAAATTGTAAGAATTCCAGCAATGTAAATTATATTCTGGCCGGGTAATTTGTATGAATTTTATGAGCTAAAATAAAAATCTTCAGTTAAAAAAAAAAATATTCTTCACACGGTAACAGATGGTCGGTCGCCGGTCCCTCCCCCCACCAACGTCCCTACTAGATAAATGTGTGGGAATACCAGACTGTTAACCTTTTTAGTAATAAATAATAAATCAGACTAAAGTTAGGATAATATAATTGACATTGCTGGATTCCTTGTAAGACCAGGAATATTTTGAATATAAATATCATATATTTTGCACAAAAGATAACATATTTACTCAAGAGTAAACATTATATCTAAAATTTGTATGTCTAATGCAAAATCTATGATGTTTATATTCAAAATGATCATCAAATTGTAAGAATACCAGCAATGTAAATTATATTCTGGCCGGATAATTTGTATGAATTTTATGAGCTAAATTAAAAAAAATTATACTTTACCGTGTAAAGGGGTACACCCACCGCGGAATGTAAGCATCCTGGGTTCTGGCAGGGCACGGTGTAAACGTGGAAACGCGGAATGTGGGACCGCGTAAAGTGAGGGTTGACTGTGTGTGTGTGTGTATATATATATATATATATATATATATATATATATATATATATATATATATATATATATATATATATATATATATATATATATTCACAATATTTTATAATCGCAGTCATGCACTGAATATTCTATGCAAAAAATATAAATTTTAAATTAATTATTTCTAGTGTGGTCGACTTCCTACACAAAGACAGGTTATAAATAGCCTCCTTATCTCCTCTCCATCTGTTACCCTCTGTTCTGAGAGAGAAGGTCTTGGTAAATAACTTTTGTTTGTTTATTTTCATTGTTTGTGTAATTTATCATGTTGTACCAAAGTAATATTACTAAAAGTTTTAGGCAGCTACCAAACAGGGAGATTCTACTGCCTGGGAAGATATTGGAAACATAATGTACAGTAGGGGGCAGTGAAATTTTGCAGTGAAATTTTGCTCAAAGCTGCACTCTTCAGGCATTGTTCCTTATACATATCTAAGACTCCATGCCAAATTTGAAGCTGATATGTCGAGGTTTAGTCTGCCACATTTTCTACTGAAATTTTTAAATTTACCTACAGTACTAGCCAAACAGCCGCTGTGGCGGTGCAATGTTCTGTTCAGTGTTTATCAACTTTTTTTCATATCTCTTATTTCATTTAAGTTTGCAGATTTCTCAATGATTATAAAGATGGCCGCCCAGGACTGTTCAGAAATATGGGAAAAAGCAATTGGAGATAGGCAGAATGTTCCTCTTCTTAGCCAAAAAACTATTGAGGAAAGGTTGAGAAAATTGTACAGTAGAGGAATTGAACTAAATAAGAACAAGAATGCAGGCAAAAAAGCTGCATTTCAGGTAGAAATGAAAGAGTTGTTTGATATCTGTAGCTGTTATTGTCCCCTTGCCTCCTGTCAGGATGTGAGGTGCATAGTTAAGGAGTGTGACGGATATCACCTGGCATGTAATTGAGTTATAAAAGTTCCCAAACGTGAGGTGCAGTTTCTCCTTGACCAGCAAGGTGATAGGAAGATGAAGATTGCAGGGGTTGACATGAAAGTGATGAAGATGTGGGACAGAGTGACGGCAAGAGAGAAGCATGATGCGGACAGAGTTAGGAGACAGCTTGAGCAAAAACATAGATATCTGGTAGCTGGAGATATTCCTTATGTTGAGGATAATTCAGATGATTCAAGAGATATTCTCTCTTCAATACTGATGCTGATTTTGTCCCTGATCCAAGGGCTCTGACAGACACCAGTTCACAGAACCGGACAAGACTCCCTACACTGGCTGCCGCTTGTGACCGATACTTGATTAGTGATTATGCTGGAGCTGCCATTGCTACTGCCACCTTAACTGACTATGGCATTATCACAAAGGATGACAAGAGTCAGGTTATTGGACCACATAAGCTGCGGGATGCGAGACAAAAATACCGATTTAAGAGGCAAGAAATTGAGATGGCTAGTTTAGATAATTTGACGTCACTCTATTTTGATGGTAAGAAGACCGCCACTCGTGTGATGATAAAGAATGAGAAGACCGAGAAATGGAGTTCGAGGATGATGGTGAAAGATCATTATGTCATCATGGTTGAGCCTGGCAATGAATATCTCACACATGTGACTCCCAAGACTGGACACGGAAAGCAGATTGCCAAAACTATTCACGAGTTTCTGGTGGAGAAAAATCTAACCCAGCAGCCCATTGTGTGTTGGTTGTGATGGAACCAATGTAAATGTAGGATCAGAAAATGGAGTCATTCATCATCTTGAAATGTTACTTGGTCACCCGCTCCATTATTTCATATGTCAGCTTCACGGAAATGAGCTGCCTTTCCGCGCAGTTTTTTATCACTATGATGGTAAACCAAGTGGTCCTGAGCATTGGCGTGGTCCCATTGGAAAGCAGATCAAGGAGTCTTTGTCTGAGCTTCCAGTTGTCGCCTTCCAGCCAGTCAGTTTCCCTGATTTCCCTGTGTTTAATGATGAAGTGGAGAAAGATCTGTCCTGGGATCAGAAATACCTGTATAGGATTTGTAAAGGAGTTATCACAGGTGTTGTTGAAGATGACTTGGCTGCTATTGAGCCAGGTCCTCCCTGTGTGTCAAGGTGGAACACCTAATGGAGTAGAATCCTCAGGCTGTATGTAGCAACATCAAGACCCAGCCATGAGTTGAAAAGAATTGTCATTACAATAATAAAGTTCAGTGCTCCAATGTGGTTTTACATCAAGATACACCCTTACGTAACACACGGCTCAAGGAACGTATTCCAGTCCCCGCTATATATGAAACACCTGAATAGTGAGGAGGAGACGATAGTGAAGAAGGCTGTCCAGAGAAATGCATACTTCGCCCACACAGATCAACTTCTTCTTGGTATGTGTGCAGATGAGGACATGACTGTTAGAGAAAAGCTGTCTCAATGATAAGAAAAATTAGAGAGGAGAATCAGCAAAAGGAAGAATGCACTGGCAGATCTGAAGAGGAGGAGGAAGATTCTGATGCTGCTGTTGACGAGAATTTGTTAAACTATACTGATGAGGAGGGTAAAGATGGAGATGGGAATGAGGATGTGCCTCCTGTAGTCAACATGAGAAAGGTGGTGACTCCGAAACTAAAGTGGCAAGCAAAAAAACTATCATTCCATGATTAACTGGAGGAATGAACTCAAGACTGAGCCTCCTTACATTGCTTCTCTGTCAAATCTACAGGTTAATGACATTCTTGAGACACCATTAGTGGTGCCCAAGTGGCCAAACAGCACTCAGGCGGTCGAGAGGCATAAAAGTGATGACTGAAGCTTGCACTGAAGTGACGGGATACGAATCGAGAGATGGATATATTAGGCAAAGATTATTGTCTAGGAAAATGATGCCAAGGTTCCGCACAAAAAAGAATTTCAATATGAACTTGTAATAATTTTCTATACGGTGTACCTGTAAAATAACATGTGAATTAAATCGATGTCACCCATGCAAAATTTATCATTATCCTGGAAAACATTAAATGACACCTAATTTTTGGTATACACTAAAAGTTGACAAAAAGTCGTTCGCGATGCGGCAGGGTAAGTATGCATGAAATGGCATGAAATTTTGCACAGGTGTTTGTTACAGCCATACAAACGATGCCTGAAAAGTGCAGCCTGCAACTCAAATAAAAGTGTTTTTTCCCTGCCCCCTAATATACATATATATATATATATATATATATATATATATATGTATGTATGTATGTATGTATGTATGTATGTATGTATGTATGTATGTGCGTGTATGTATGTATGTATGTATGTGTATGTATGTATGTATGTATGTATGTATGTATGTATGTATGTATGTATGTATATGTATGTATGTATGTATGTATGTATGTATGTATGTATGTATGTATGTATGTATGTATGTATGTATGTATGTATGTATGCATGTATGTATATGTATGTATGTATGTATGTATGTATGTATGTATGTATGTATGTATGTATGTATGTATGTATGTATATATATATATATATATATATATATATATATATATATA